TTTTCTCTATGATATTAAAATTTGCATGGTAAGACACAAATAGAAATGATGGAACACTGTGTAAAGCTAGAATCAGGTTTGCAGCATGGTGAATCTAAAGATATCGATTCTGCTGACTTGTGCAGTGAAATTCAAGCAATTACACGTCATCTACAAGAATCTCTGCCACCTCAAGCAGTGCTGAAGTTCTTTTGTAAACATAGCCTCATTGAAAGTGTTCCCAATATATTTATTGCACTTCGTACTCTTCTTACTCTGCCTGTTACTGTTGCAAGTGGCGAGCGAAGTTTTTCAAAACTTAAATTGATAAAGAGTTACCTTCGATCCACAATGGCACAAGAAAGGCTTGTTGGATTAGCAACTGTGTCCATACAGCAAGAAATCACTGAAAAACTTCATATCAAAGAACTGATTAACCAACTTGCAAAGATAAAGGCAAAAAACTTGCAACTTTAGTATGAAGATGTAAAAATTTGTCAGATTATTGAACTTTCTTTCTTATACATGTACTGTATGTTTTGTATTAGGATGTATGCAGTTATGTTTGCAACTTTTTTGTTTTAATGAATAAATATTTTGCTGAAAAAATATTACTATGTTATGTCTTTTTGAGAGAGTTATAGAACCATGGGGAAAAATTGGTGAGGAGGTGGAGGGCGTAAAATAAACAACTTGCCTAGGGTGCAAAATACCATAGCCGGCCCTGATACCTCTCATGTGTGTTTTTTCAGATTACAGGACATAAAATCTGCTACCACAGAAGTGTTAAAAAATAGTACTTGAAACTTGTAAAGAGCTAGAATTACAAAGGAAACTTATTGGCTTGTTGGCTGATGGTGCTGCAATGAATTTAAGCATATGAGAGAGAGAGGAAAATCCATAGCTTATAACCATTCACTGACTTAATCATTGATACATTTTTGAAAAAAAGACCAAAACAGATTTTAAAAATAGTAGCATTTCTTAATTGACAGCTATGTTTAAGTTTCTGTTTTACATATTAGAGCTTGCTGTTAAAGAGGCACTCAAGGAGACATACTTTAATGAAGTGATGGATGTTTTTACAGTCTTTTTCTATCTGTACCAGAGGAGCATCAAAACATTCAGAGAACGAAAGAATCAGGAAACATTCTAGAAACAGAGGTGGAAAAACTCAGTCATGTTCATGGCATGTGATGGCTGTACATAAACACAAAGCAACTGAAGTTCAATTCCAATCTTTTGTTGTCATAGTGCAAGACTTAGAAAACATAGCTGAGAAGAAAGGTAAAAAGCAAAAGGGGCTTTAAAGATGCTAACAATTTTAAAGCTTATTCTGTATTTAATGTTCTTTGATGAAACCCTCTTTCAACTGACAAGATTATCTCTAACTTTGCAAAGTTACAGTGCTAATTTCTCGTATGCTTTGCCTTCTGTTGAAGTTGCACTTGCAGAACTGAATTGTGGTAATTCTGTATGCAAAGAACAGCATGTACAGTTATAGGAAAATGTGGGAATGATAAAACAGAGTTGGAATACAGAGCAGTTACTCTTACAAATGCCATGTGTAACGCATGTGTGTGTGGAATTTTTTTTCTTCTATGTATAACAAACAAATTTGAAGACTCAATGAAAATTAGACATCCAATTTTGAGCTGTTTGAAGGGGCTGGGTCTTGCAGCATGGCATAATAATGCAGATGAATTATTGGTGTTTGGTAATGAGGAACTGAGCACTTTATATGATCAGTGTTAATGACTTTTAAGGGTGCATGTAAATGCTCCAAAAGTTTCTGAATGGAATGAAGCTAAGCAATTCAGCTGTAGGAGCCTTGGGCGTCTGGTGAGAAATGAATTCTGGAAATTAGTAATTTACATATACATACTACATTTTCCAAATTTAAATAATGTTCTGCAAATATCTTTAGTAATACTGATGTTTAATGCAACTTTACAGTGATCCTTCTCAGTCATGTAGCATGTTAAAATTAACTGGAGAAATAGACTAAGGGAAAAGGTACTGAAATAACCGCTCAGAATCAAACTGAAGGGTCCCTACCATAAAGAAATTAATCCTAATCCAGTCATTGAGAGATTTTTTGCATTGTCATTTAGGCAACCTTATTACAAAGCTTTCTGGTTCTAAAATGAGCTCTCAAAAGTGAAAATCAACAGTTTTACATTTTGATTATAGTTCAGAGTAAGATTGCTGTAACAAGGGTTTCAAGGGTATAGTGTTGTATTCTAATCATGAACTTATAATTTATTTCAGTCTTATTGTACCAGTTTTCTAGATACTATATGTTGGCAAAAACAAATATTCAATGCTGTGATGATAAGGAATCATTTTTTGTAGGAAACTATGGCATGAGGCAGCAGAACCTGATAAATAGAGGATATCCATCTCCAAGAAGTACTTACTAAAGACAATGGTCCTTCCCTGACATGTTATCCTATTAAGAATATGGTGACTACAAGCAGTATATCACTTAAGGTAAAGTTGTAGTTAAATAGTGTTATCTTTGAATAGCATCTAAAATAATTTTCAATCTATTAGTCACTGGAATGCATGTGATAAGCTATTAGCAAAATGTTCCATTATTAACTTTAATATTTACTACAGATTTCAGAATAGAAAAGGGTTCTACATTTAAACATGTACAAAAACCTTCTGGGAATGTTGATGTTAATTTCGTGTAAAATATTTTAGTCATAAATGATTTTTTTTCTTAAAATGGAGAACAATAATAGGACATTTACTCAGAATGGGTTTGCCCACATGTAGCAAATGTATTGTTACAAGTTTACATCTCAAAACAGTTTGACCTGAAGTAAGTAAAGCAAGAGAATCTTTTTAGTTTGAGTTCAATTGTTTTGTATCTACAGTACCTGTGGGTTTTTCTTGTTGATGAATATTCAAATTAAGCTGTTTTAAAAAATAAAAAACAGCAAATGATACATGAAATAATTCATACAAATGTTAAATACTGTTCTATAAATACAGCTTGTAACATTTGTAATGTACAAATTACTTCGTTGATGGAACTTGCTGATACAAAATTTGATTAATTCAAAAAGTACACATAGAAACCGCTATACAAATCTTAAGTTTTGTTATGCAAATTAGACCGAGTTGCAGAAATTCTATACAAATAAAAAAATTACTTCCACCCCTGTAATTTGAAAATAACAGGATCAAAAATCAGAATTTGAGCTTATGATAACTATAGCCACATGTCATAGTTTGTCTTGATCTTGTACCTAAACATGAATTCAGGACCAAGATACTAATTTCTTGGTATCTGAACTGCTAATATTATAAACCTTGCATAAATCTCGCAGTCATAATAGCGATTTTTACTTTGAAATAATTAGGAATATCAATGAAAATCTCTTGTTTTAACCTTGTGTCTACAAATGATCATAACTATCATTTTAGACACATACATTAAAGAATATTTGCTAATTTTATACAAGTAAAACTTCAATTCTTACACTTCTAACAATCCAGACTGATCCACAAGTCCAACATAGTACCTTTCAAACATATACTAATATTGTACAAGTAAGCAAGTATTCAATAAATTAAAACATAGAAATTCTCTCAATATTATAAAAAATCCACTAAGATCTGACATTTGTGTACCTTAAAACCTGAATCTTTCTAGGAAAAAGCTGCACATCAAGTGATGCCTCTTTTTAGCCATCAAATACATATTTGGAATCTAAAACTTCCCCACATATGTAAATTTTCACATTTCATACATGTACAAGTTTGTAAAGTAATATATATATTTTTTATATGCACCGGGTTAAAGATCTGGAATTATAAATCAGCTAGAAGACCATTTTTACTTCTTTTTTTAAAATCTTATTTGAAGACTAATAAAAACAAACTTGTAAATATTCACTTTACAGTTTATAAAGCTGAAAGCACCAACTTTAGTATCATTCAGTAAAGAGGATTACATATCATAAATACTTGTATTAATAGAACAGGTCTTTCCATCTGCATTGCTAAAATTTATAATTTTTTTAATCACTCACACTCTGACAGGAATTCTAAAAATTTCTTTTTGAACTTGTGCATTTCTCATAAAGTAGTAACAAGAGCTCCTTTGTAGTTTTGTAGAGCATGAAATTTGTATTTACAGAAAACTTGAACTAAATGCTGCCCTGGAATAAAATGCATGTTTAATAGCAAGTAACATATAAATAAAGATTATGCAACTAAAGCAAATGTTTTCTTTCAATTCTTACTCTAGTATCTTTTAATTCCAAATTATACTTCATACACATATATCTCTTATTAAAGGAACTGATAGTTTCTCACCTTAAAAAACTTCAATGTAAATTCTCGTACAGTAAAAACTGCCACACACTTCATAATTTTTACCAATAGCAAGTAAAATTTCCAGTAAAACAGGAAAAAAAAATACTGAATTATTTTCTAAAAACACTATTATTACCAAGTAAAACTTTGGATGATGTTGTTAAAGTCTGAATCCAACACTTCAACAACAAACATTTCTGAGATTCAAATAACTTTAAACTCTACTCCAGAATAAAAATTTTCAAAAACAAAACCCTCCTGATGATGATAATCTTACTTGCTGGTTTTCATTATAACTTCCTTTAAAAGGAACCATCATAATAAACTTTTGTATGTATACAAATAACTAGTACAATACAAATTGCATCCTCCACATACATTTCATTTTCAACAATGTATTGAACATACCCCTGATTTTAAAAGAGCAGTTAACATCAAAAAGCTGCCTTCTTTACTCAAAACGTTTATCAAAGAAACTGAAATTATAAGTATATACTGTACATACACAGTAAGTTACTGTATAGAAAATCCACCATGCATACACACACACACACACACATACATACATAAAAGTCTGATACTTACTGGCTTTTTCTCACCGGTTTTCACATATCACTTGTATCAACCTCGCTGTAGTACAAAAACTTTTCAGTGTTTCAAATATAAAACATTGCCAGTACCAACCTGGATGATACTACACACCCGAACTTCCAGTTTAAGGTGTTATCACAGTTCCTACAAAAGCACCAATACCTGCATCTAACATTTTCAAACAAAATCTAACTTGTCCAAGCCAATGTACAAAAAAACTGACACAAGTTTTTTTAATATGTTTTTCACCATCATAAAATAAAAAGTAACAGAAAGCCAGTAAACACACTCAATATGAACTGTAGAAATGAAGATCCAGAGTTTCCACAATGAAAAATGAAGCTGTTCTAACGATGAATATAACCTAAGCTGCAGTCTCCATTATGGGAATGCCATAAAAATATGGGCAGGTTGAGTGAACTTTACACTGAGTGAGAAATAACTAAGCTACCTTCACATTTCTGTTTTTCCAGACTATGAACATGCATATTGGTCCAACAGTCAGTTAAAATATAATTAAAAACAAACACTGAATTTTCTATTCAATAGTAATTTAGGAAAGATGTTACCAGGTTTAAGGTAAGTGTTCTGCATTCAAACTCACCAGTACATTGTTGAATATCTAACATCAACTATATTTTCTTCAATCAAGTAGCTGTGAAAAGTCTGGGCTAGTTGATGAGTGGAAATGATCTTCTGACAAGTGCTGACTTGACATCCCAAGTGTGTCAGTGTTCCGTTTCTCATCTGAGAGAGGACTTCCCAAGCTATGGTGATGGCTCATCATATTTGAGCTGAAAAGGGCAAGACGTGAAAGTGGTGTGGGATGTTGAGAGACAGGATTATAGGAACCTACTGCTGATGTAACCTGGAAGTTACCATAATGTCTCTGATAGCCATGAGAGAGCCACCGTGAGGAATGAGCGAGTGGGGCTGGAACTGGAGTAGGTGGAGCAGAATAAAAGGGCCGGCAGTCTTGTTCAGAGAACTGCATATGGCCAGATGTGTCACAAGGAGATGAACTCTTGATGCGTGTCATCTGGGAATTGCTGACTGGAGGACTGTTCATCATAGGATTGATCATATACTCTGAATGGGGTACAACTGATGGAGAAGATTGGTGGGAATACACAGATGGAGGGTGGCTTAACATATCAGGAGGGGAAGGACTTGCCAAGGAAGAGAGATGAATTGATGAGGATGTTCCATTCACCATTCCTATAGTAGAAGAACTGACTGATACCTGAGAGAGAGGAGAGCTACGAGAAGGAATTGATTGGGAATGTGATTCTGGTGCTTCTTTGGAAATGGTTTGAAAAGGGCTAGGAGATGGTCTTGGTGGACAAGTCAGTGTTTGTGAAGATTTACCAAGATCAATGGGGTTTACAGATGAGGATTGGGTTTGTGGAGATCCAGGAACTGGAGGAGCAGGAGAATTATGGAAAGAATAAGAAGATAATTGGTTCTGGTTTGTCTCAGAACATTGAAGAATAGAGCGAGTTCCATTAGAGCAAGAACGTGAACCTCCACGAGAACTATAACGACGTGATGGCAGTTGACCTGTATGACGCTGCACATGTGTCCTCAAGTTTCCTTTCTGTGAGAAAGTCTTTCCACATATAGTGCAAGGAAAGTGGTCATCCTTGTTATGTGTTCTCATATGGGTATGCATATTCCCACGCTGTGAGAAACATTTCCCACAAACTCTACAAAGAAAAGGCTTTTCTTTAGTGTGCACACTTCGTACATGTGTCTTCAGGTTTCCTTTCTGGGTAAATGATTTACCACAGGACACACAAGAGTAATCTTTTTCTCCTGTGTGAATTTTCATGTGTGTATCCACATTGCCTTTCTGAGTGAATTTTTTTCCACAGACCTGGCAGGTATAAGGCTTCTCTCCTGTGTGGATCATCATGTGTGTCTTTAAATTTCCTTTCTGGGTAAAGTACTTGTGGCAGACGGGACACATGAATTGTTTAGTTGGGAGATGTCGAGGTCGGCTGGGTTGTTGTAAGGTCATTGATGAGTTTATGTGGCCTTCCCGAGACCCTTCAAGCAAGGATGGTGGAGAAAGAAGGGTAACAGGAGCTTGTTGGGGAAGGCTGGAGCTCTCAATAGCAGTAGTAGGTGACTGTGGTGCTGATGGTAGTTGAGAAAGTTGTTTTCGTTCAGATGGAGCACTTAATGGTCGGTTGATGTTGGGGTCATTATTTATGTTGCATGAGCTGTTGCTGCTACAAGCCCCATCAGATTTCAGACTACTGTATAGAGAAAAATACTGCTGGCAAATCTCACAAGGATAGGGTTTATCCTTAGCATCTGGATGAGGGCACTTTGGAAAATTCTCATTAAATGTCGAAATTTTTTCTATATAACTAGATGCTGCAGCTAACTGAGAAATACCTGTCCCAAAATGAAGAGGATTTTTCTTAAGGAAAAGATCAGTTAGACTTGCTTGGTATCCTGGAGGCCAACTTTTGTGACCAAGGGAAGTAGGGGTCACCCATGGGTAAGTACTATTTTCCATTGTACTGGAAGGATTATTGTTATTCATGAACACAAAAACGTTTGTAACTACTGTAACAAGTGTTGTGTTGAAGAAATGAGGAGTCTTTATGTTTGTTGTGCTGACTTTCCAGTACTTACTTTGTAGTTGGGTGAAGGTGAGTGATTGTTTAATGGTACCAAGAAGTCCACCATGGTCAAGATCAGGACCTAAAGAGAACAAATCCATGGAAAATATTTTAGAAAAAAATTCTAAAATAATATCAAGCAAACTTAGAAAGTCATTGTATACAACAATCTTTTTTCAATTATTTATGCTTTTCTAAATAACAAATGATAAAATTAGTGACCAATTTCTATGTTCTAACGTAAAACAGAAACAAGTCATTCTACTAAGTTTAAATACAGCTGTATTTTAAAATTCATGATTTTTTTACTGAAAACTTCAATCATCAAAAAATCTTTTTTTTTCTCTATCTTTTCCATTAGCCAAGCAAAATAGAAATGATTTTCAGTCAAGCACATGCAGCTAATGATTTAAACCAGTTATTACATTTTTTTTTTTATGTAGGTAAAAACACAACACAAAAGCTGAAACTCATAGTAGATTATTTAATATATTCTTAAGATATGATGACTTATAAAGGGTGGTAGAAATGTTGTGCAGCACTATGACATTTGCAATTCCTGTTTTTACATGTTTTTGAAGATCCTAGCATGATTATTTCCACGCTTCCTTGCAAGATTAGTGACATACTAATAAATTTGTAAAACAAAACATGACTTAGAAAAACCATAATGGGAATGGGACTTGGAAATATCATTGTGATGTGCGGCTTCTGTATCATCCTGTGGTACTTACATGTAAGTTGTTTGCTATATAATGAGAAAATGTGACAACTGAATCACACTTGTGTACACTGTAAATTGATTTATCAAAGTTCACAAAAAAGCTACTAACCAACAGATATATGCTCAGTGCTCAACATTAGCAGTTGTCCAGTGCCCAGGACATGTGAAAGTCTCACTTGGACAATTATTTGCAATTACAAACCATTAAATTTCTGACAGGATAAGTGGGAAAAAAACTCCTCCTCCCCTCAATTTCACCTGTTCACTATTAATGCTATCGCAACAGGTCACATGTCAAAGGCCATGTCATCGCATTTGTTTACTTGCATTCAAAATTTTATTGAACTACTATTTGGCATCAAATTGTAGATTATAATTCATATTTTAGTATTATACATTAGTTAATTTCTTAATTTAAAAGTAAATATTAAAAAACACACCTAAACATCGATTTTTGTGTGTCATGTGGTATGTTGAATGCAGTACTGGTTCAAATTAGATGTTTGTGAAGTCAAAATACTAAGTCTACAGTCTTGTACGAATTAGAAACTCAAATTACCAATATTGACAAGCTATAATATAAAATAAGAGCCTATTATCCTTTCAATTTGCTAAGATATTGCTCATGTAATATATCAAATCACCTCTTTCCATTTTTGGAAATGCTCCCTTATATACACATACTTCTATATATGACATGAATAACCAATCAGAAGCTCAGAATGTCCCACTAGTGGCTCTCTCAGCCATTTTAATGGTCTTGGTGCCATTTCTTTTTTTTAAACCAATATTTCAACGAGGTAGGGTGTGTCTTTAGTCTGCTCAAAAATTTCTTATCTTTTTAGACCCAAATACAGCTTAGTTACTAAGCTTGATAAATTATAGTAGAATTATATGGTATTAATGTAGTAATTTATGATTTATTAGTTATTCAAATGTATATAAAAAACCAAAAAAAATATTTTGTTTCATATCCTCCATGTGAAAAGTTTTTAAAGGCTTAGCAACCGAGTACAAAGGTTGTAACTAGAATAGACAATTGTTTGCTTTACTTCTTTAGTTACGTTCTATAGTTTAGGGAAAATAACTTTAAGAACTTATTTCAAAATAGCAATAATCTATATACATATATAATGTATAATAATTGAAATGTGACCGTATTTTACAAAATACTAGTCTACTAAAACACAGCCAAAACAAGTTACTTTATACAGACAAAAGTCAGTTTTATGTTATTTGATACGGTAACATTAGTGCACGTGAGCCACATCACTGTAACTTCTGTATTGTTAGCCGGGCATGG